TAACCTGCAGAGGAGGTGCCAGAGAGGGCCTGGCTGGTAAGGAAGGCTGAGGGACAGGCATGGGGAGGGAAAGGTCGAACGAAGGAGGGAAGGGGAAGAAGAAAGTGATGGAAGGGAAATGGGAAAGGGCGGAAAGGAAACCTAGGGAGAGAGAGAGAGAGAGAGAGAGAGAGAGAGAGAGAGAGAGAGAGAGAGAGAGAGAGAGAGAGAGAGAGAGAGAGAGAGAGAGAGAGAGAAGCAGCAGTCTTTCTGCAGCTGGCCGGGTCTACCGTCTTAACTACGTTGCTATATACCCCGTACAACTCTTATAATAATATTTGTACTTAATATATCACAAGCGCATATATGCAACATGCAACAATATATAAACTAGAGTAGACGCCATTTTCACTCTCCGGTAAAAGCTGGAAGAGCCGTCGACTCGAGGCGAACCGAGGGCTGGGCGGTCGCTCGCCTGCCGGAGACGCTGCCGTGATCCTCCAGGCACTGCTGCTCCCTCGCTCCTCTCCTTAGCAGACCATCGAGTGGGGCGAGCACGTGCCGTCGATGATGGAGCAGCCGGAGCAGCGCCCGCAAGAGCATATCATCCCGAGGCCGCACTTCCCGTTCTCCCACCGGTAGCCTCCGCAGGACTCCCCCGGTCCCTGTGTGAAGGAGAAGGAAAAGGAATTCGTCAGACAGGAGGCCAGGGATAAAGGATGGCTTCGTTATCCTTATTTTTTGGCGGATTGATAGACCGAATTAGCAACGTTCCTCCCAATCGCGATACAGACGCAGATACACATAATCAAACTCAATTCATTATTATTTCGATATATGAAGGATTCGTGACCTCTTCTCCTGACTGACCTTGGCACAGACCGTGTTCCGACACCAGTCCCTCGCCACGCCGTACTTGCAGTTGTCGTTGGATGTCCGGTCGTGGATCTTACACCTGGGAGCCGCTGCCGCCCACCTGGGGAGAGGAGGAGACCGCAAGGTGAGAACTTGGCGCCTTTGTCGTTTGTTTTGTTTTGATTATCATTTCTTGATTGGTTTTTGCTTTCTCTGTGTTTATATTGTAGAATTTGTTTTTTTTTTTTTTTTTTTTTTTTTTGGCGTGTGTGTGTGTGTGCAAAGGCATGACCGTGGCTGTGTATTTGCAAATTTGTACGTGTATGTCTATGTGTGCAAGGATATATACATAGCTGTGTGTCTACGTGCAAATGTGTATGTGTGTGTGTGTGTTTGTGTGTCTGAACGGAAGTCTGTGTATGGGTGTGTTTATTAATTTATGTGTGCACGTGTGGATGGACAAGTGTGCGTATGGGTGCGTAGACGGAAGTGTGTGCGTAACGGGCAAATACAGTCATGTGCTTGAACTAAGCTGAGTGTAAGTTTGTAGTTTGAGTTCATGTCGGTTTAAAGTACGTTTTTGTGATAAAATATGTGAACGCAGATATGTGTTCTGTTTGCAAACGAATAAAAAGAGAAGCATTGATCTTAATTGTTATCAATAGAAGCGGAAATGAAGAGATGTACATATTACTGACCCTTAGATTTTTTTTATCAAACCAAAGAAAAAAGAAGCAGAAAACATTAATAAAACAAAAACGAATAATAATCACCAAAACAAAACCAAAAAAAAATCTCATCAAAAATTAATTAGTAACGAAACAAAAACAAAAGAGAAATAGAAAAAGAAAAAAAAACGGAATAAGAGAGAAAGAAAAAAAACAGACAGACAGACAGAAACTGACTAGTGACATGGATGGATATTGCATGACGAACAAGTACATGACTTACTGCACGAGGAGGGCGAGGCAGCAGGTGGCAAGAATGCATGTGATGGCAGTGGTTCTCATGGCGGTGGCACAAGACCTGGTGGCAGAGAGGAGAAACGGTGGTTTAGATCTTTTTTTTTTTCTTTTTACTTCTTTTTTTTTCTTTCTCTCTTTTCTTTCTGATTTTACTTTCTCTCTCTCGCTCTCTCTCTTTCTTTCATTCATTTATCTTCATCTCTTCTCTCTCACCCATTCATTCATCCATTCCGCTCTCTTCCTCTCTCTCTCTCTCTCATCTCTCTCTCTCTCTTCTCTCTCTCTCTCTCTCTCTCTCTCTCTCTCTCTCTCTCTCTCTCTCTCCTCTCTCTCTCTCCTCTCTCTCTCTCCTCTCTCTTCTCGCTCTCCTCTCTCTTCTCGCTCCTCTCTCTTCTCATTCATTCAATTCATTCTCTCTTCTCCTCTTCTTCTCTCTCTCTTCTCTCTCTCTCTCTCTCTCTCTCTCTCTCTCTCCTCTCTCTCTCTCTCTCTCTCTCTCTCTCTCTCTATCTCTATCTATCTATCTCTATCTTCATCTCTCTCTCTCTCATCTCTCTCTCTCCTCTCTCTCTCCTCTCTCTCTCTCTTCTCTCTGCTCTCTCTCCTCTCTCTCGCTCTCTCAATCCTCATTCATTCTCTCTCTCTCTCTCTCTCCTCTCTCTCTCTCTCTCCTCCTTTCTCTCTCTCTCTCTTTCTCTCTCTCTCTCTCTCTCTCTCTATCACATATTCAACTGTTATAGAAATTACTATTTTGGCCACTGCGATTATTATTCTCATTGCATTTACATTTCATTACAACATTGCAATGATTAAATTTCATTTTTTTACCATTAGTATGAATATAATGTATATGATTATCTTTAAGATCGTAATTACCATTATCTTTACTATTATATTTGTTACTCTTTTTTCATTGTGATCATTAGCATCGTTTTTTATCATTAGGATTAAAGGTACTATTATTATTATCAATATCATTATGAATATTATCATAGTCATTGTCCTTATATTCATTATTATAATTGTTATCGCTATCTTTATCATTATCATCATTATTACCGGTCATTTAATAAATCATTATCATTATCATTATAATCATTATAATCATCATTATCATTATCGATATTATCATTATCGATATTATCATTATTATAAGTGTTATTATCATTGCTATTATAAGTGCTGTTCTTATCATTATCCTCGATCTTGTTCTTGTTATTGCTATGGCCATCAATATTATCATCAATATCATCATTGTTATTGTTATTATCATTACTATTATCATCATTGTTATTATCATTATCATTATCATCATCATTATTATCATTATTATTACTAATATCATTATTATCATTATTATTATATTATTGTATCACTATTATCATTATTACTATTATCCTTATCCTTATCTTTTATCATTACCAATAATATCTATATTGTTATTATATTGCATTATTACTAGCTATATTATCATTATTAAATCATTATCATTGCTATTATTATTACTATTATATTAAGTTATTATTATCATTATCATTAATTACTACTATCATAATTATCAATTGCCATTATCATCATTATCATTACTACTGCCACTTCTACTATTATAATAATTATCATTATTATGGTTATAATTACAATTACCATTGTTATTAACATTATATATATCATAATTACCATTAGTATCATGATCATTACTCTAATTCTTATCATTATCATTTTCATAATTACTGTAATCATCATCATCATCACTGTTATTATAATTATGAAAAAGTTAATACTACGAGTGTTGTTCTCACATTACTATATGATTATTAACACTATTTCTTGTGTGGTTTGTAATACATCTACGATCCATTACTGTTATTATGGCTACTACTACAATAATTACTACTAGTATTATTACTACAAATGCTACTACTACAACTACTACTACGACTACTACTATTACTGATACTACTATTGTTACTATGCTATTATTATTTGGTGTTATCATAATATAGTTTACAATTAAAGTCATAGCTAAAATCAATGTATTTTTTATTGTTTCCATTATGATAAGCATAGTCAATTTATGATCATGACTGCTAAAACATTACAATATATAATTTCTGTAACTTGTGAAAACAAACATTCCTCAAAGTTTCATTCACTGAAGCAAATTTCGAAGCTTCGAAAACATGGAAACGATAGACTATGAAAATGGTAACAACGAATTCAAAACTAGACAAAAAGAAACACCCATTCCCTCCAAAAAAAATAATAAATAGATAGATAAATAAATAATGATGATAATAGATACACAAATAAATAGATAAATACTCACTTTCTGTTGACGACGAGAAACGAGTGTTGTAGCAAGACGCAAGATCTTTTTTTTTCCTCTTGTTGCCAGATGTTCCTTCTCGTTCTCGGTTGATGTGACGGCGGCGGGCTGTGGCTGTCTGCGCTGGGGGATGGATAGATGGATAGACAGACGAGCAGAACCACCAAGAACGCCCACGAGACCGCTCACACCATTCGAAAGTCCTACTGGGGTTGTGATCGACTCGGACACCGCCTTATATATACCCCCGAGTTCACGTGGTGCCCGCATGATGCTCTTCGGTGTGGCACCCCCTGCTCTTGCCTCTCTCTCTCTCTCTCTCTCTCTCGCTCTCTCTCTCTCTTGCTCCTCTTGCTGCCCCCCCTACTCCCCCCCACCTTCTACACTGCCCTGCCTACCTTGCCCTATCCCCTCCCCCCCCACTCCTTCACTCCCTGGATACGATGCCCCACGCACGGTCTCGACCAATAGCCACCCCGCCTCCGGGACCATCCTCCGCCCCTCCCTCTTCCCCCGGTCCTCCTTTCTCCTCCCCTTTCTTAGCTCCTCCTCCTCTTCCTCCTCCTCCTCCTCCGGTCCCTCTCCTACCGCTCCTGCTCTCCCTCTCCTCCCCCTTGCTCTCCCTCCTACCCTCTCCTTTCTTTTCCTTCTCCTGCTTTTCTCTCGTTTCTTTCTTATTGTTATCTCTTATCTCATTAATTTCTATCTTCCATTCTACGTTATATTCTTTACCATATGGTTCTCTCCACCTTCCAGTATTGTGTAATAAAGATTTTTTTTTTTCGAAACGTTTTTTCTGATAAGTCGAAGGATGTGAGACAATTGGACTAGTTTTTTTAAGTGACAATGAAGGAACAGCTTACTCACTCACCTCA